CCTTGTTATACATCAAATAAAAAATATCATTTATCGATTTATTAATATTAAAATAAATTCATAAAACATTGACAACATAAACAAAATACCCAAATAAAAGAGAAAACATAACACAAATAATGATGTTAACTTTGATCCATTAATAATAATTACAAACAACTAATATAGGAAATCCTCATTAATTCGAACTTGGATAGTTTGAAATCCTGTTAGTTTGTAACTGTACTTTTGTCCTGGCCAAGGATATAAAGATTTACATGTTAAGGAATTCAGTTAGTTCAAAATATGGCTACTTCAAAATTCAAAGTGAAAATTCTGTCCAAACTGTGACATGCATATGTTAATTCATTCGTTTAGATCAAAGCTCCTCCATACTGTAAGAGAACAATGGATCAAGAACAACTCTAAACTAGCCAATAAAGCTTTGCTTTTACAATAACACATTTTCAGCTGTCACCTCACCCATAGACTACCTTTTTCTCTTATCTCATAAAATATGGCTAGGTTTCGGAATTGCAAGATTGAATTACAAATAGCAGATTGAGAAATTTGTAGGGTTCTAAGCTACATTTGAGCAACTTACTACTCTTTGGGACACTTTAAAAATAATTTGAGCTACATTTAGAGGAATTTTGCTTTATTTTATATAAAACCTATCTGGCAACCTGTGAGGTTCTCAATGGACACATGCTGTTGATCTGCAGTTTATTTATATTATTATTAATTAATGAAATCAGCATTCTGTACATGCAACCATATTCAGTTTTGCTTAATAAATTACATCCCTTACATGACATTTGGCATATTGTACAGAAATATGTAAATCTCAGATAATTTGAAACTCAATAATTCAGATAATTCAAAGTTGCAATTATTTTGTCTCTTGACATTTGAATTAATGAGGTTTTCCTGTATATCAATTTTAATAATTGTATGGAACATTTCTCAAATATATTAAAATAACTTATAAATCTCATTATTAATGTATATTACCTGAACCCAACATTCTAACATCTACATCTTCTCTTCCAGAAGCAGAAAATATAATTTCTAAAAGTTAAGGAAATAAATTATTTAAACATTTAATTTCTACAATATGATTGTTAAAATCAAAATAAAAGCAATAAAATTTAAAAATACTTGTAGCTTTTATATGTTCTTTAATTACATCTACAATCAATTCTTGTACTGAGGTCATCATTCGTTTGTCGCCATCTATAATCCAAGGTGTTTGACTTAACTGTCTTGAATATTTATTATATCTACCTGTTTCAAATATTCAAAAACTGCTGATTTAGAAAAATGTAAAGAAAGCTTTTTTTGATACATTAAACAAAGACTAAATTTTAGATAATAGAACATTAGTTTCATTTACTTTTAATGTCATAGAGAATGTGTAACTTTATAAACAACAACAACATGTAAATTAAAGTATTCTTAAAAATAATTATAAGTAAAAGACACTATATTTTTACAGCAAGTAAGAGGTTTGTTTAATTTTGTTTATTACTTATTATGTGCTCTCTTTAATTGGCAAATTCCATAAAGACTTTAATATAATGAAATTACAGTTTCAGATCTGATATCTTTTATAAATTTTAACATATTTCACATATATTATGCTACCAATAGAGACTTTTTTGAACTTTCATATAAGTCTGACACATACTTATTCCATTATAAAAACTTTATTCATATTCTATTGTTTATTTTGGACTAATTTCTAAAAACTAATATTAAGAATCAGTAATTGCATTGCAAGCCTTCTGTAATGGCAAATTATGGTCATCTGTACAGCCTTTGGTGTCATTAATCATTTAATAAACAGAACTGCTAAAATAGGCAAATGCATTGAAAAATGTGAACAACTAATGTGTTCTTATATTTGTTTATGTTACAAATGAATCAAGTTGTTTTGAAAACCCAAAAACCAAAATTTAAAACTTTAGGAAGTTTCCTTTCTTGGAAAAATTACATTATGTTATCAAAATGAGAATACAGCATGAATAATAAAGTTTAACAACACAAGCTATGTGAAATATATTTTTAATGCCATGAGTTACACTTTTTCCCATATTGGGTCCAATGTATCTGCAATTTGAATTACAGCTGTTCCATTTTTTCTAATTTTCTCCAATCCTTCACAGAACATCCAATCCTCCTCATCCCATTCCTCCCAATTTATGATTATTTTTACAACTACTGTGTATATAATTAATTTTATATTAAAAATTATTTTAAAATTGTATTCTTCTTCTCCAGAATAATCAAATTCCTTTACAGTTTTTTCCTTAAAAAAGAAATTTTATTTTCTTTACACCAATGTTTGCATTATTGTTTCATTCGTAGGTTTTTTAAAACACTGAGTATAGCCCACATGCTGGATAAAGAAGATAAAATGTATTATAAACAGAATTTTAACTTAATACATTGTTACTGCAAGAAAATGAATAATTTTATTCAGTAAGTGTAAAAATATCAATATATTATATTATCAACACTTATTCTGCTAGAAACATATTACGTTTCATGAATTTTTGGTAAAAACGGCAAATGTAATGTTACATCCCTCTATATATGAAGTTATTTTTTAGCTTGAATTTATTAATGAAGAAATGAACAAATATGGTGATGATTACATTGATTTATCTGACAAAAGTGTAGTGATTATGTTTTAGGCCTAACTGAAATAAAAAAAGTACAAATAAGCCATGTAATTATGTTATTATTTCTAAACTTATACAGTTTATATAATATTACATAATTTATATACTTTATATTCTCAATGCAAAATTCTCATTGCATATTTCTGACAGTGCTAATGCCATCTCATCCACATTTTCTAAATTAACACAATTATGAAAAATAGCCAGTCAGAGGAAAGTCTATTAATGATATTGATACAGTACATCATTATTATAAATAAATTCATCAATGTACTATATATTTGTTACTTAAAAAGATAAATGTTAAAAGCTTAATTGCGTTTTTTAATTCTTTTCATCTTATCTCTATCTCTAAAACATGTCCAAACAACATTAATTAAAGCACAATACATGAAAATAAAGCCCACATACATCAAAATTGAATAATATATAGATAAATGTCCCTGAAATTAGAAACTGTTCTCATTTTTCAACTAGCTTTAGTCAATCGTTTTTTGTTCTCAGTACAAAATACAGTAAAATCACTTAAATCAGTCAGCATACAGCAAAGGAACTAGGGCAACAGAACCAGCAGGATTAGTGTTAAATGTAGTACATATACAGCAGCCTCTCATTATATTGTTCATTCAAATATATTGCATTTGTTTTTGTCTCAAAATATAAAAGTGTTTTAGCCAATAATGGATACATCAGTTATATCATACCATCTAATATATCATTGGTTTGAATTGTCTCCTTATATGCATGATGTAATGAGGGGTTATTGACATATATATATTTTTAATTTTTCCAAATTCACTTATTTTACTGAAATATTTATAATCATGTGGTTTTTTACCATACCTCTCTCTTCTCTACATGGTCTTTTATCCCTCCCTCCCTTAAACCAAGCTACATGGTTAATGGATGAATCATTATCCATAATTTGTTTTGTTTTAATTACATTCAAAAACAAAATTATTATTTAATATTTTAAAATCTAACAAAAATTTTAGGATAGATCTGAAATTCATTAATGTTATAATGAAAAATTAAAATTGAAAATATTTATGCCCTATTAAATGCTATTCTCATCATCAAATTAAATGCATTTACTTCATTTCTTTCATAATTTTATAATTTCTTGATCAATATATAAATATAACATAATTTATACTGTTTATTTAATTTAAATTTTTTACTGTTATTCTGCAAATTTTAAGTTTTAAATTTTTTGATGCTATTGCTGTTTTACCATACATAATAACAAATAAGTTTGTCTGAAAAATCTTTTCAAAACTACGAACTTTTCAGGTATAAAATGTGAATCTTTACTACAATGAGGTAAATAAGGGTAACACTCCTAACAATTATTGTAAATCGCTTAGTGTTATTCAGATATGCAGCTGTAAATAACTCATTTTATGAACATATTTAATATAGAGATTGATATAATAATAAAAATTTAGTATAAACAAATAGTACACACTGTTTCCAATAGCTGATGCACTAACAGTACATTACTGATACAAATGGTATCGGTAAAGTGTACTAATGTAATAATTTATTTTATATTTATCCTACTTTAACTTAAAAATAAATGACCTAAATGATAAATTACCTGCCAAATAGATAGGAGAATGAATACATGTAATTTGATTCAAATAACAAGGCCTAACTGAAGGACAGGGTGGTAATGTATATGCTCTGAAAATAAATTATATATTGTAAAATATCAGAAATGAAGTTAATTTTCTTATGTAAATATTGTAATTGAAATTTCAAAAATCAAGTAATACATTTAATTTCTCTGATATCAGTATACTTACGTTTTCAATGTTTCTGTGCATATTCTTGAAAGAGCTTTATGTACAGCTGTTCTTGTATATATAATCTCTGGTTTAGCCTATATATATGTTTATATAAATAAACTTTAAAATGTTATGCAGTATAAATTAGACATATACAGTATTTTTAAAAGTATACTTTTAATATATCCAACACAGAAATTTTATTCAAGTTTTTGATTTCATATTCATCATATTATTTGCTTTTATTTTGTATATTAATTTTAAACAAAAGTATTAATTATTTTTCATACAACTTTTTCCATAAGAAAGATTAATCTTTTTAAATTATTCACCTCTTTCTTTCTACGATTTGGAAATGCATCAGGACATAACTTTTCTCTAAAAATACAAAATGAAATTATTTAGCTAGATTAGATTATTTTTCTTAAAAGAAATTATATTTTAATGTTAAATAACCTTACAAAGCTTCACATTCTTCTTTCACATGTGTATGTTGAATAGAAACAGCAATTTGAAAACTACTATCTGGATTAAATTCTGCTTGAAAACTTTTGCCAAGTTGGGAACCAATAACCCATTTCCAAACATCTTTTACTGTAGGTAAATCTTCAATATTAATATTCCCATAAACAGATCTAATAATTAGAGCAAAAATAAACCGAATTTAATAAATTTTTTATCACTTAACATCATTAATGAATTATAACTGTTACCTTAAATATGTAAAAATACTCACGGATATTTTTCCTGAAGATAAAGAAATAGTAATCTCTATATTTAAAAGAAAAAAAATTATTATTTTGTAATTAAAATTTCATACCATATTTAATATAATATATAACATTATTTAATTTTCACTTGTTACACTACGTTTTAAAAATTCAACAATTTCTTTTATGTTAGAGTGTATTACTCTAACATTACACATTAATTTTATCACAAGATTTACACATTAATATTGAAGATTAAACATAAGCATTTCTGTTTTTAAATGGTTGATACATTCCTGAAAAATTCATGTAAAAAAGATACTGTCTGTATGGAAAAATGGTTCCAATCTTTAAAACCAGTAAAAATAATAAACCAATTAATATAATAGAATGTGTTTATACAAAATATTTCAAGTTTAATTAACACATGAAGTAGGACAATTGTAATTTACTCATCAGCAAAATGTAATAAATTTATTGTATATTATTTGCACAAATTCTATTTTAACTTTATTTTTCATTTGACTTTTTCAATTAAACACCAAAATATCTCTAGCTTTTCACACCAATGGTCATATAAAACCTATTTTGCACTGAAACGATTTAATTGGATTGGATTGATGGGCTAAGGCAATGCAATGATGCATGGCAATTTGCCAAAGAAGGAGTACCTCCAGAGAGAACTTTCTTATGGGAAACTGGTCCCTATTTAGGTGTTAGACATGTGACAAAAACTCTTCATAACCAGCAATCAGAAAAAAATTTATTTTAAAGTTAGACAATTTGATAACACTACTGAACATTGATTGTGGTGCTATCCATTCATTTACTGGTGAGCATCACATTGATAGTCAAAATTTTTCTTAGTAGTTCTTCTTTGGTAAAGATTAGCTTGATGCTTTGAAGCAAAATGTAGAAAAGAATAATAAAAGTAAAAATCTTATGGATACTACTTCAAAGCCCTAAGCTTATCTTTACCAAAGAAAAACTCCTAAGAAAAATTTTGACTGTTATCTAAATTGTTGTAAGTTTTTACTTGGCACAATTTTTTTACATCTCAGATACTTTTGTTTAATAATTATATTATTACATCAAGATATATGATGATGATGTACAATTTTGTCACTGAGCACCAACTGAACACCTTCAATATTCATTTCAGTTAGTGTTGACCAAATGCTTTGCTGACTGATGCTTTTGATACACCATTTATAAAAATTGTTATAAAAAGTTTTAATTTACATAAATTTAAGCTTTTGTTATTTCAAGTAACATTTTGAATAAGATTCATTTGTTTTGATGCAATTTTGTCCTTATAAGCAAAAAATTAAGCCATAAAACTGAAATCCCCATGAACTTTGATCTATTAACCCGAAAGTTTCATAAGAATCTCACTGATAACAAAAAAGGCTTAAGTTTAAAATTTGAGCTTTCTACACCAAGTAGTGTTTCTCTACAAGCATCGGCAGTGCTGAACAAAGAAGAAGATAATACAGCTTTTTTGGAAATTTTTGCACTTTTACAAGTGTTTATATTTCAGCAACCCCTTTATAGAAAATCTTGAAATTTTGTACACTTCCTAAGAAAACAATTATCTTTTGAATGAGATATTTGGAATTACTTTACATGTTTGGGAGCAGAGAAATCAACCACTGAAAATCAGCAATTCTGATTCCTGTGTATATAGTCAGTCAGTGACTTTTTTACTTGGCAGAGAGTCACTGTTGTGACTCTCCGCCAAGTAAATATTGAGAGTCACTGTTGTGACTCTCAATATTATATTAATGATATCTGGTACAGATTATAAAAATTATACAAAATATACTAAATGATTGGCAACAATTGAAAAATGGTTTGTTTGATTTGATGGAATAAATCAATGCAATACATGAGCAATATGCAAAGGGACACCTCCCAAGAGGATTCATCTACAGAAAATTGGCCACTGTTTAGGTGTTGAGACACGAAGAAAACCAGAAAAATTTCATATGGCCAGCACAACCTATCAGCGTTCAGTGGTTCTATCCACTCAGCCACTGGTGGGCACAATTGAAAAATTCATCCTCATTGGAGGACTAGCTTGTGCTGCCAAGAAACATTCTTAGGTAATATAAAAATAATATGAGCACATCAGAGAAAGTATTATTATTTTGCTCCTCATAATAAACATTACATATTACTTCTTTATAATTTGTTTTAAATAATTTCTATTACTACTATAGTATTACATAAAAAAGTTACCTCACGCAAATCAATTGTTACTGGTATAGAAAGCTGAATCACAAATGTCAAAAATGATAGATGTTCATCTGTAATATGTTTTTGTATCTGAAAAATAAATGTTTAACTATTAAACATCAATGTTAGTTCATTTAAATTTCATATTTACAAAATTTAAGAAAAATATCAATCATAAGAATCACAAACGATTTTAGAATTTTGTAATAAATAAATATCAGAATTTATAAGCTCAATACACTGAAAAATGTTAATAATCACTATTAAATTTATGATTCAACCATCATTTATAATCAATTAATGATAATTTTAATCTTTCAAAGTTTTCAATTTCAATGTCCAAGATTTTTAAATATAGTTGACTTAGCAAACTACTGTATTTCAAACAGAGAAGAGCTTATTTAGTCAACAATACTTAAGAATTATATATACATCTAAATAATTATTAGCTGAATTTTCTTATTCAAATAATTATCAATAAAATCAAGTTATCTAAAAGAAAAAAATATTATTTACTTTATTATAATTGACATTTTTTTTTAAAGTGAAGGAAAAAAAATCCCTTCAGTTTAAAAAAATTTTACTCAATTTAACAATTTATATTAACATAATTTTAAATTTCATATAAATTTTAGTGTTCTTTAGTTTTAAGAAATAATTTTAAATTAATTATTTACTGAGGTATGTTCAGATAATACTTTTTAATAACTTGTTCTATTATTTTTTGACTTTGACATATATCATAAAAATATACTAATAATATATAAATAATTATTTATTAATAATTATTTAATAATTATTAATAATAATTATTTATTAATTATTATTAATAATTATTTATTAATAAATAATTATTATTTATTAATTAGATTAAATAGTATATACATATTCAAATTCATTATCTACAAAGTATTTAAATATTAAAAATACTAGTCTTCAGAAAAATTACTCTGTTTGACTTAACTG